ATGGGGATGTCAACAGGAGGCTATCCCAAGGGAGCATTGACTAAAGACACCGGAAAGGTCAGCACCTTTGGGTGATTCAACAGCACCTGGGACCAGTGTTGCAAAAAGCTGACTGATCTGCTGCACTCCATAGGAGTATGTTCCATTGTCTATTAAATGGTAACTAACACCCACAAGGGCATGAAGCATTCAATGTTTGTAACTGCAGAGGACGGTCACACAGGAGGTTGTCAGTCAGGTACCTTCCATCAGATGCCTCATGTGCAATCAAGTTCATTGTAGCACATAGGCCCTCAGGGAATGAAACAGGGGAAATAATAATGAGGAACTAGGAAATGGCAGAGGAGTGTTTTAAATACTTTGCAACAGTCTTTCCAGCAGAAGACACTGATATCATTCCAAAATTGTGAAATATTCAAGGACAAAAGGAGATGAGGAAATAAATGCAGTAAATATGACTTGGGATAAAGTACCAGGCAAACTAATGGGGCTGAAGATTAGTAAGGGTCCTGGACCTGATGGGATACATCCTAGAACATGAAAGGAGGTAGATACAGAGACAGTGGATGCACCAAGAGTAATCTCCCAGGAATCCCTGGATTCTGGAAAAGTCCTAGAGATTTGAGAAGTGTGAATATAACATTTTTATTTGAAAAGGGAACAAGACAAAAAGCTTAACATCTGTTACTGGGAAAATGTTAGAGTCTACTATAAAAAGATGAAAATGCAGAGCATTTAGAAATACATAATAAGATCAAATCAGCATGGCTTTGTTTTGCAGGTGGTTACAAGCAGGATCGATAAAGGGGAAGCAATTGATACAATAGGTTTGGATTTTCAGAGGGCATTTAACAAGTTACCACACATCAGGTTACTTAATAAGATAAGAACCCATTCTGTTGGTGACAGCACATTAACATGAATAGAGGATTTACTAACTAAGAAGGGATAAGTGGGGTGGTTGTCAACCTATGCCACAGGAATCAGAGCTGAGGTGTGACAATTATTTGCAATATACATTCATGATTTGGATGAGGAAAGTGAATGCACTATACACATCATTGAACAGACAATCAATTTGTTTGAAGATGAGGTTCTGTTATGTGGACCACTTAGGAGCATGCCAGAACTCGCTAGACAGGATCTCCAGAATAATGATTGTGTACTTGCCCTGCAGAACTGAGCTCAATGACAGGGGACAACATAGCAGAGGGGAAATTGGACCAGCCATTGATCTCCTCAGGCAAGAAAGAAGTGGAGTCTGATAGAGATGCTGAGAGAGGCAACAAAAGTGATGCTCATGTTGCAGAAGCAAAAATAGTAGATAGGCAAAACAGATAGGCCCAAGTGAACCAAACAGCAACTAAATTTGAGTGAGAATGAGCCAAATAGTGTGCTTCCACACTTTTGGGGATTTTGTGATTCCATGACTCTAGATTAATATGCCTGCACACTCAGAACCATGAGTCTATGAGGTACTTCTCATTTTAAAGGAATGTTTGCTTTGTTACATGTACCCTTTATGCTTCTTTTCCTTTCAATAAAATGTTTTGTGAAAGTGCCATGCTTCAATCACCTCCTGCTCAATTTCCTGGACGAAGCTTCAGAATAGAGTTATGAAGGATTATATGGGGATTGTACATAAATTAACTCAACCATCAATATGCAAGGGACAATCCTCTATTGCTGAGACATAGTGGACTTGCTGAGTGCTGACTCACAAGTCCAGCAGAAGGTTGTGCTCCCATGAGGTCATGTTCCTCCCAGATGGCAGCAGAGACTAGCACAGCTCCATATGATGCACATGTGAGTGTCAATGGAAATCAATGCCCTTCAAAGTTGACCATAACACAATCTTAAACTGCCATTCATTGAGTATCCCTTTTTCTTGTCACTTCTTCCAAAGTGCATCAGTTCAAACTTTTCAGGGTTAATTCCATCTGCTACTGATCTGCCATAACCTCTTCCATCAGGCAGAAGATACAAAAGCCTGAGCACATGCACAAGCAGGTTTAGGAACAGCTTCTTCCCAGCTATTTCTAGACTGATGAATGAATTCTCTTGCCTCAAATAATGCTGATCTTGCTAATGTTGATCTCGTCTAGCGCACACCCTGCGCAATGTAACCTGTATGCCTCTGTCTAAGTCTTTTTGATCTGTACATCCTTGTTTACTATGATCTGCCTGTGCTGCTTGTAACTGAAGATTTTCACTGTGCTTTGGAATGTGATAATAAATAAATCAATCAAACAATCAAACTGACTAAACCATCTATGTCCTCCTGTAACCTAAACCTTCTTCCTCACTTTTAACTGCCCAATGGGTGGTCTGGGGTGGCATGGTAGCGTGGTGGCTGGCACTGCAGCCACACAGGACTGGGGACCAATTCCAGCTTTGGGTGACTGTCTGTGTGGGATTCTGCCAGATGTTCTGGTTTCCTCCCACAGTCCAAAGACGTGCCGGTTAGGTGAAATGGCCTCACTTAGTTGCCACACAGTGTGCGGAGCTAGTTGGGTTAACTATATGAAATATGGGATGACAGGGATAGGGTGGAATGCTCTTCAGACAGCAGTGTAGACACAATAGACCAAGTAGCCTCTATCTGCACTGCAGAGATTAAATCTTAAGACTACTCTTCCTCTCTGCTGGCAGGAACCTTTTTCAGTTCTGAGAGCCTCAAACTCTAAAATTCTTTTTCACTTTGGATATGTCTTCTGTAAACTTTAAATGTTTTACTGCGCTCATGTGGCAATGAGCCTTATTCTAATTCTAATTCCTACAACAGATTGGAAACCACTTTTGCTGAGGTGACTTGTTTCCCCACACTCCAAGCTTGATTCTTCTGAATTGAGAGCTGGCAATTTGTCATCAGCTCAACAGTATAAATGATTTTATCCAATAACAATACAGGGGTTCTCTCAGGCTCTTGAGTGAATCACATGCTCTGTTATACACAGAGGGCACAGTTCAAATTTCTTTCTAACCTGATTTAAAAAGTATCTTCGCAGAACCAATTCAATGTCTATCTGCTTCTATTTTGAAAACTAAATCACGAAATCTAATTCTCATAACAGTACACCTTTTATCACAATGCACTGACAAGTCCATTTGTCAAACTTTAATGTTTTCAGTGATTTGACACTCAAGTGTATGACAATAATCTGTGTTTCTGGAAATACACTGAATTGCAGTAGCTAGTGGTGACTTTGTAATAAACACAACATAAAGCTATTAAGACAAAAGTGGAGGGCAAATAAAAAATATATGACCAGGATACTATTTGCTCACGTTGTAGTTTTTGCAGAATAATGGCTATATCATTTCTGAATGATTCGAATCTCTATATAATCTCTACATGTTGTCCACTAACAAAAAAGGTTTTCTTCCATTAGATTGTCCATCATGAAATTCTCTCTGTTTCTGGGCTTTGTGATGGTGTCCATTCTGGCTGTAACCTCAAGCCACATGTTTGATTCAAGACTGGATGAAGACTGGAAGAACTGGAAATCACAACATGAAAAGCAGTACACTGAGGTAAAAGGATAACTTTCTCCAGCAAGAATCTATTTCACACATTTAGCTCACTCTGAAAGGGTGGAATTCCACACATTTGACAAATTATTGAGAGATAGTAGGAACTGCCGATGCTGGAGAATCTGAGATAA